GTATGATGATGTGGAGCCTTTGACAATCACAAACATGAATTTAATCCACGCAGCATTAGTATTCCACTTGTTGTAGGCTAGTATAATCGAGAGTAATGTAATAAGTAGCCAAATGTCAGGAAACCCTTGCGGATCATAGGGGCTTGAGCATGATGGGACAAGTATGTTGTAGGTTGATGGTGTGATTGTACCTCTAGAAATACTTTGGGGCTAGATGATTAAAATGGTCGTGAATTTGATGTCTTTGGCGTGAATCATTAGCAAACCACTATTGCCTTGTAGTAGAGCTGCGTCGATAGGAATAGGATTTGCCCCCATGATTTTCTCCTCTGCCATGACCATTGTTTTGACCACAATAATGATTATAATTTGTGGTACGATTTGTCCTGGAAGAGCACTGAATGAATTTAACAGCATCGTTGGACATAATATGTGAAGATGATGAGCCCGTGATCGGGTGTGATGGACATCGATGGGAGGGTCCGACCATGAATAAACTTATGATTTAAAAAAAGGCTTGCAGTTCATTGAACGTGATAGGTTTTGGCCGAGCTAATGAAGTTATGGCGTTATTTTTGAAGTCACTTCACAGGCCCTTTAATATGTAGTTATTTTGATAGGAAAATATGAAAGGACAAACGACAACAACTAGCTCATCACATATGAGTTACGCTTTAGTAATATATTGAGTGATGTGTGGCCTAGTGGTCAATGAAGTGGTTATGAACCATAAGGTCTCAAAATCCATTGAGAATGGACTGGATTGGGAATAACTTCTTTATCGTTATTTTATTTGCCTGAGATGGTGAGATGGACGACATGAGTTACTTCCATCAACATATCCAAAATGGTTTTGGCCACGAGGGAATGACCAAATTTGTGTTTTCCAGAATAGGTAGTTAGAAGATTTTAGCATAATTGAGATAAGGCGGAGTGCATGATGGAGGAGATGGGCTGCTGGAATTCATTCATGATTGCTTGATGGAGAGAGGTTGGGTACTGCTAGAACTAAAAGTACATTGTTTCTTGCTCACTGTTGCATTGATACATGAAGGAAACATATACACAACAGAGGAAACCAAGTCTAGGACTCCTACATACAACATAAGACTACAAACAAATAATAGATGGATGGTATGGTAGATAGGAGTTATATCTTGACAAGGACTCGAGTTGCTTGACTTGGATATAACTATCGAATATACAGTGACATGCTTTACTTGGTTGGTAGTTAAATAAGTTGTTCTAACCGCGGATAATCTAAGGAAAAGAGGCATATCAATTTGTTCAAGGTGTCACATGTGTAGACAAGAGGTAGCGACAATCAACCATCTATTTCTTATATTGCAAGTGACTAGTCAGCTGTGGAACTTGTTTATTAACCTTAAGGGTATTATAAGGGCAATGCTAGGTAGAACAACTAAACTTCTGTCATGTTGGAATGAAGGAGGTAAAATTACTACCAACAAGCCAGATGGAGGATCGTCGTAGAAGCTTTTTGGTGGACTATTTGGAAGGAGTGAAACCCAGTATGCTTTGAAGATACAACTAGCAATATGCATAAGATCAAGATGAACTGGATTCTCTTTCTTCTTCTTTTTGGGTGTGTAAAACTGAATATATGGATAATCTTGATTCAATTTTACAGGTTTTAGATTCCTTGAAAGAAGAGCAAGGTCTGTAATTTGTTTTTTGTTGTGAACATCTTTAAGTTTCTAGCCTAAGTTGCTCCGACTCGGATGCGGGTATCCGAGACAGATGCGAATCCGAGTATGGATACGGGTGCGGGGATTAAGCTAACATTATTCAATATTATAAAATATAGTTATAATCATATATTTATATAAAAGAGAACCTTAGGTTCTCCTATGTAGCGCCACCAGAATTCAGAATTTCCTTTTGAATTTATTTATTTCCAAACTAGCCTTCCATTTTCATGAAAAGTTGTGACTTTTATGAAAAGTTGTAACTTTTTTGACAAGTTGCGACTTTTGTGAAAGATTCTAACCGTTCCAAAGGGTTGTAACTTTTGCAAAGAGTAATAACATTTTTGAAAAGTTGTGACTTTTATGTAAAGTCGTGACTATAATGAAGAGTTGCGACTTTTACATCAAAAGTTGTAACTTTTGTGAAAAGTTGTGACTTTTATGAAGAGTCACGATTTTTATGAAAAAATATGACTTTTAGAAAAGGTTGTGACTTATCCGAAGGGTTGTAATTTTTCCAAAGAGTTGTAACCTTTCAAGTAAGTCATAATAAAAATGTATTCTTACTATCCGTTGTTGACTATAAATAGAAGGATTTCCTACCACAATTATTTGTAGGTGTTTTTTCGCTCTAGGGTAGTAGAATTCAAATACATTAATTAAGCTTCTTATGAAGTTTGTTTCATTCCTCAAAGTTTTCTTCCCTCTGTTTTATGGAGCTTAAGATGTACTTTAACCCATAGTCATTCATGTAAATTGCTAGGAAAGCAAGGTTGTTTTTATCATTATTTTTAGATATTTGTGAATTCAAATGCTCACAAAATTATGCTGTGAGATTTTAATATGGTGTTGAAATTTTGGTTTAGAATATACAGTTGTGAACTGTCCTATTTAGAGGTCACCTACTTTATGGTTGATAATTTGATTAATTCTTTCTAACTGCGTACTATAATAATAAAAATAACTATGGTTCAATCAAAAAAAAGTTGAGGCCGGTGATATGAAACATAATCAATAGTAATGACTACTCTGAGACAATGAGGAAAAACATGTATGATACAATCAATTTTAGGCTCATTTTAAAACATATACATGATACGTCATACTATAATACAAATAGATTGATGGAGTTCATAAGAAATGAGTTGAAGATCTTCCATTTGAGTTTAGTTTAGTATGTTCTTATATGGACGTGATGTTCCATTTTACTTGGGAGTGTTGTTTTTCGAGGTTTTTTTGTCCCTTCTTTATTGTGTGATTTTGTTCTTTATAACTATTTGGAATTTAGCAAATTTCATTACTTCTGACTAACTATTTCTATGGAGATTTTTCTTAAACTTCTTTCTTATACTCGAAATCTCTCTATAACTCATAATTTCTATAAGAAAACAAAAAAAAATACAGAACTTTAAGATTTTGGAGGAACGCTTTGCCTTGAAATAAAATGTTCTTGACAATGTAGGGTATATATCTAAAATAAGTATATTATCGAATGATCATATGTGAGCTTAATAAAAAAAGTTCAATTGGTACGAAGTACGGGTAATTTACCCAGTAATAACAATAATATTAAATATCTTGTAAAATGTTGTACTTGAAAACATATCAATTCTATGTACAAATTTAAAAGCATAAATTAATTATGACTAGTTACTACTGAAATTAATTTTAAAATAATTATAGTTCTTTTTATTTATTATTAAAAAAATAATCATTAAAGCCTAACAATTAGATGATACAATTCATTTAAGTGTTGTGTTGCCCTTTCTTCTCCCAAGAAACCCTTAACCTTCCCTTACCCTTCTCTGTTCCTTTTCAAGAAAAAAAAGTTACTCTCGTCTTTTTCAAGAACAAGACTTTGAATTCTTTGTTCTCTCCCATGGAGCCTTCACCTCCTCTCCAATCTTGTACAAGAATTTTTTTCTATGGAGCAATCAGACCTTGTGACAACTTCATTGGAGAAAAGTCGTCTAACATTCGCCGGACATGAAATTAATTTTTTCTTTCCCATTTTTTCGGCTCTGGTCAAAGTATCCGGATCTGATCGACCGAACCCGACCCGCACCTCGCACCCGCACCAGTCTCGCGTCGAGACGAATTCGGCTCCAATGTTGAAGAGTCCGCGCAACATAGTTTCTAGCGCAATCTGTGTGCTGAAAAATTCATATACTCCTCCATTCATCTCAATAAAAGTGTCTTAGTTTGATTGGACATGTAATTTAATAAACAAAGAAAGACTTTTCAATCTTGTGGTCTTAAATTAAAGACGTGTAGTCCTTTAAATCTTGTGATCTTGAACTTTCAAGTAGAATTTTGGAATTGAAAAAGTTGCTACTTATTGAAAGAGACTCTTTTTGGGACAAACCAAAAGGAAAAGTAAGAACATTTAAATTAGGATGGAGAGTCATATTTTGGAATATGTATTTTTTCCAAAAAAAAAGTATAGATATATTTGTATTCATGTTAAAAATAATATTAGTTGTATTTGAAATTACACTGATACCTCAAATTGCAAAAACAACATACCCAATATGATCCCACATGGTGGGGTCTAGGAAAGGTGGTGGTCTATGCAAACCTTACTCCTACTTTATGAGGTAGAGAGGTTGTTTCCCATAGATCTCGACTCAGAAAAAGCATAAAAACAAATTGTGGTGATATTACTGTAGAAAATAAAAGAGGAGTACTGACATCCTCAAATTGCAGTCTACATGAATTCACTATTTCACTGCTCCCAGTTTTTCTTCACTGTGCTGCTGACACTATGCAAGCTTTCGATCAGCTTGATCTCAACGTTGCCTACTGTCCCAGCCCATTGCTTCCTTTAATCCCAATTGTTCCTCCATATCATCGACATTAATATAGACAATTACAACCAATCAAATCAGCTTGTATTCTTTTCGAAATACCCCCTTCTCTGCCGCCACTACCACTACTTTACCAATGAAATCTATGTCTTTTAATAATCATTTTTCTTGGATAGTTATGAGGTAGTTACTGTATGAAGTCAAACAAATAAGGCATGATTTCTTGTAATCCACACTTGAATAATCATAGCTCTTGTTTGGAATCTTCTATATAAAACTAGTTTGTGGATCATCCTGTGGTTACCTGTTACTGGATGATGGGTTTGGACTTGACCTTTCAATTTAGCTAGTCAGGACCAAATTGTAATTTATAACCCCCCCCCCCCCTATATATTTAAGTGATGTCCTTGCGGTCAAGAATTGTAATCATTACTTTGGGTCATTGCAATGTTTCTCTAACATCTACCACTTGAATTGTATTTTGAAGGAACATGACAGTCAGTCCAAGTAGCTTCATCTCATTTGTATCAGAGATATTTCCGTTACTTCAGGTATCAACTATAGTATTGTCCGTGAGCTAAACTTTATTTTAGTGTTTGATTACTTTGTTTGATGATTTCTCTTTCTCTTTAAGGTCATTTTGTGCATCTGGAGTTCAATTTTTTTTTAAACAATAATCTTAGAATAGGAATAGGGATACACAATCCTACTTAAAATAGGAATAGGAATAGTATTAGGAGCAAAAATAATAAATAGTATCCTACTTGGTAAAGAATTATATTATAATGTCTATAAATAAGGTCTCTATGTAACAATGTAGATACAACAATTCAATAATATTTTTCTCCAATATTTCTCACATGAGCCTCTACGATCTTGGTAGAGAATCATAGAGCTTCCGCTGTAGGCGGGCAGCTCTGGCCTACAGCGGGCAGCTCTGGCCAATGATTATGTTAGCAAAAGTTGGGCCACCGTATATCTTTTAAGTAATTATTTTCTCATATCTAATTTGTGTTGCACCGTGTCATCATTCTGGTGACTACTTTCTTATATCTAATTTGTTTTTGTGTAACACTGTATCATCTTTTCGATTACTTCTTTTTCATATTTAATTTGTGTAGCACCGTGCCATCATTGCGGTGACAACTTTTTCATATCTGATTTGTGTAGCATGCTACCATCATTCTGATGACTACTTTCTCATATCTTTTTTTTGAGAAGGTAATGATTACTTTCTCATATCTTATATGTCTAGCACCATGTCATCCTTTCGCAGGTGACTTTCTCATATTTGATTTGTGTAGCACCGTGCCATCTTTTCGGTGACTACTTTTTTCATATCTGATTTACGTAGCATTGTTTTTTTCGGTGACTACTTCCTTATTGTGTAGGGTCGTGCCATTATTATGACCCTACCCTATAATTTCTCTTTTTTTAGTAGGGTCGTGTCGTCAATCAGACTCTACCTATATACTTTCTATTTTCCAATAGGGTCATGTCATCATTCCCACCCTACCATATAATTCTTTTTTTTTGAACTTGGTAAGGTTGTATATTATATCACAAAACAGTACATGGGTCCTGAAACCTTATATACTAAAGCCCCAAAAAAACTTACTGCTCTATGGTAAATTGAGTCTAAAACATCAATTATAGAGACAATATCATTTAAGTATAACTGATTACACTAAAAACATAATAGCAAAATGTAGTTGAGCCTTACTTTTTGCACACCGTTTTCTATGCTCTCAAAACACCTAGAGTTCCTCTCTTTCCATATTGCCCACCATATTGAAGCAGGGATAAGTCTCCATCTGCCGTGCCATCATTCTGACCTGACTCGAACAATATAATTTTATTTCTCAGATTGTGACCACTTTTAGCCATCAAATCTAATATTCTTTTACACATGAGCACGTTTCCATTTTGAGCACTTTCTGGCGACCATGCACTGTGAAGAAGTCTATATGGAGCTACCATCTGATTTTGTTGCTCAAGGGAGTTGAGTAGCCTCTAATCTAAAACGTTCTTCTTAAGCTTTATTTGGGAAGTTCAACACAGTAATTTAAGAATTTGGCATGACTCGTAATAGAGCTAGTCCGCTTTGTGTTTTATCAACATTCTGCATCAAATTCAATTTTGTGAAGTCGAGTGATCAACTTGCAAATATCTCTCCAGCTCCTCATTGATTACGTATCAATTACATTTGTAACAAGCTAGGTACATATGACTTGTATGCACCGGGTTGAGGGGAAATTGTATATACAATCCTACTTAGAATAGGAATAGGAATAGTATCACGAATAAGAATAATTAGAAGTATCTACTTGGTAAAGGATGGTATTGTAGTGTCTATAAATAGGGTGTCTATGTAACAATGCAGATACAACAATTCAATAATATCTTTCTCCTATATTTCTCACAACTTTGTTTGATGATTTTACTTTCTCTTCAAGGCCATTTAGTGCATCTGGAACTTATTTTCTTTTGAAACAATGATGTACGAACCGACTTGGTAAATAGAAAATATAATCTGGAAATGTTGCCTAATTGTAATTACTAAAACTTCGCCATGGTTGAGCCTGAATTTCTGTCTTTGTAGTAGTGAATTTTGGCCTCCAGTTAAAGTAAATTACAGCAAATTCCAGTGCTAGTTGATCACCAATTACTCCCTCCGTTTCACAAAGAATGACCTGGTTTGACTTGGCACGGAGTTTAAGAGTATAAAGAAGACTTTTGAATATTGTGGTCCTAAATTAAAGTTAGGTCAAATGTACAAAATTACCCTTTGATCTTGTGGCCTAAACATGTCATGTGGAAAGCTGAAATTAAAATGTTATCAAAAAAAGAAAGAGGTCATTCTTTTTGAAACATACTAAAAAGGAAAGAAGATCATTCTTTTTTAAACGGAGGGAGTAATTATTTTGGGAACTCCATGTCTTGAGTGATTCTAATATATTATACAGCAGTTATGTAATTCAGATGTATTCCCCTTGTTATTTGGAAGTAATAGTGTTTCGAACTGCTCATTCATTAACTACTGTATGATGTTACTGGCAGATCTATGCTGGCTCATTTTTCACCATTCCTTTGATCCGATGGTTTCTTGTTCAAAAGAGAAATGGTGAAATTGAAAGAAGAAATCGATCCAGGGAACAATATGCACAAGTACTTGAACGACCCGATGTCTCACTGCGGAGGAAGGTATCAATTTTTGGTTGCTTTCTTTACTACTCTCTCCGTTTCATTTTATGTGGTAGTGTTTCCTTTCTATTTCTTTCAAAAAAGAATGGCAAATTTCTAAATTGGAAATTTTATCAACTTAAACTTCTCATTTTATTTTTAATGACAACTTTTTATAACCACACAAATGTAATGTGGCATGTTTAACAACATTTAAGTTGTGTATTTTGGTTACTTAAACTTGTCTTTGTTTATGCCAGTAGAGTTAATCTTGTTGTAGGCTGTAAAAAGTAGTTTTATGTAGTTAACAATAGGTCATGGACTGCACCGAAGGGTGTGGTCTAGTCGTCAATGAAGTGGTCAAGAACCCTACGGTCTTTGTTCAAATCTCAGCGGAAACAAAACACAAAACAGTAGGTGATTCTTCTCATCTATCCTAGCCTTGGTGGACAAACTTACCTGATTGCCTATTACTGGTGGGAGGTGGCAGGTGTTCTGTGGAATTAGTCGAGATGCGCAAAAGTTGGCCTAGACACCACGATCATCAAAAATAAAGAAATATTAGGTCATGGAATTGGATCTACCAAATGATAAGAATACCTGTGTGATTCAATCATTATATATATATATACACACACACACACACACACACTAGTTCTCGAACACGTATATCTCATACTAATTAGTATTAATGTTTTAAAATGATATAAATAATAATGAAGTATGCATATGATGGAAAACTGTAGGAGATTGCAAGTGCGAATTGATGAATGAATAACCTATTGGACTGATATGTACTTTATTTTCAAACTATGAATGTGAGAATATCCTCTATTTTATTTTATTTTATTTTTGAGAATTGGTAAGTGCAGCGACCTTTTATAATAGTAAGAAGGGACCATGTATTGTGGGGGATGTTGCGACCCTAGTGCAATCTTCTACAATGCTAAACAGTCCAGTATTTAAGTTTCTGGAAGTTTATATCTAGTCTCTTTGGATTTCATCTACACTTTGTGTATTTCTGTTGAAATAGTAAATATATATTATAAACAGTATGGCTCAAAGATTGTGGAATACATTTTATTACATCAATAAACCAAAACATCCCCGTCTATGTATGCTATACATATATGAATTTTTTGGAAATTGAGGTGAGATTACATGGGATTGTGATGTCTAAATGCAAATAATTATGATATCTAGGCTTGTTATTCCAAGAGCATGAAATAATAGATTAAGATGTCACAAATAGATTCAATATCAGATAGTTGAAATGGGAGAGTGCTATCGAGGTGTTATGTGATAGAAAGATGTCTTACCAAAGTGTGACATAAGTTGGACAACAAATTATAAGACCAACAATGTTTTATGGGAGTGAATGTTAGGCCGCTCAAGTCCAACACATCCACAAGAAGTGTCACAAAATGTGGAAGCTAAGATGGATGTGTAAGTCATACATGACTAGACAAAATTAGAAATGACCACATTTGTGATAAGGTCAAGTAGCACATATTGAGGATAAAATAATAGAAGTCAACTTGAGATGGTGGTCATGCCTTTGCCAAACACCAAAGGCATCAGTTCTACATGTAAAATCATGGTGAGTGAAGGTGTTAAAAGAAGACAAGGTAGACCTAGATCCATTTGGAAGGAAGTTGTCTCGAAGGAACTAAAACCAGAGGCGTATCCAGAATTTGGAGGGTAGGGGTACCACACAACGCTGCTATTTATTAAGTCCAAATAAGGTAAAGAGATGATCGTTTGCAGTTTGGTTCGGATTATTTATCTTTTTCTTTATATAGACAGATCGATCAAACGAAAAAATTGAAATAATTTTGACAACTTAGTGCAAAGAAAAAGCTTTTAACAATATTAGTAATATCATAAATATGTCAATTGATTTTTAATTGTACTCGACAAAATTTTCATATTCTAAAAACACTCAATGATGGCATAACTATTTGTATTTTTTAAATACTTCACACTTTATGTAACAAATTAAATAGAAAGTGGTTGAGAACCCTAAGGTCTCATATTCAAAACTCAGCGGAAACACAAAAAAAAAGTAACAAACTAAATACAAAGAGGCCGAAGATCTTTACATACATAATTTCAATAACTTAGACAAAGTAATATTAAGAAGTCTCAAGCCTCAGCTGACAATAGTAATTAATCTGAAGAGGCCGAAGAAATCAAATGTAATCAGAGCCTTGCTTTGTAATTTGAAGTTCTTGATCTCTAGCCCCCCAATTTTCTTGCTCTGTGTGCTGATTTCCACTTGACTCTAGATGGTAGCCTTTTCTCTCTTTATTTTTTTGCCAAAGAAAATTTCTCCGGATACTATCTAACCTATTGATGATCCCTTTTGAATAGTCACAGAGTAGTAGACCATAGAATACTCTTGTAAACATGGTTTAGTGCAACATAGCATTGTTTTGGTTCTTGATAGATACAGAAACAATTACTAGGGATGGCAATGCAATGGGGGGGGGGGTTAGCTTATGCGGGGCAGGTGCTAACAAATAATTGTAAATTTCAAGCGGGGCGGGGCAGTTGTGGGTTGAAACAAATGGCTGAAATTTCAGCATTAATTTTGCTCGCTGGCAATACAATCTATGCTAGAAGACCCATTTGAACTCCAAATTTTTTAACCACTTCTGAATTTAATTTAACCAATTTAAATTTATTATTAATCAACATTCAACAATAATAATTAAAAAATGAAATATAGAGTGGATTAAAAATAAGTTTATTTAATGTTTTAAATAACTATTAAAAAATTACTAGGCAACATGATAAGAGGCTTGGGCATCTGTCAAGGATACTCATCTTCTTTGTCATGTAAGATTCTATTTTTTAAGGGAAAATACCCAAGTACCCCCTCAAACTATGCCCGAAATCTCAGAGACACACTTATACTATACTAAGGTCCTATTACCCCCTGATCTTATTTTATATGTAATTTCCTACCCCTTTTTAGCCTACGTGGCACTAGTTCGAAAAAAAAAGTCAACCATCGTTGGGCCCACAAGATAGTGCCACGTAAGCTAAAAAGGGGTAAAAAAATATTAATAAAATAAGTTAAGGGGGGTAATAGGACCTTAGTATAATATAAGTGTGTCTCTGAGATTTCGGGCATAGGTTGAGGGGGTACTTGGGCATTATCTCTTTTTTTAACATTACAATCCTTGTAGTATTAGTCATATATTAACTTCTTCTTCTTTTTTTCTTTTTTTAAATATTAACTTGAATGTTCTTTTAAATTCATTTATTTTTAATTTATTATTCTGCATAATATTTTTAACCTAGTATTACAGGAAAGGAAAATAATACCATATGTAAATAACAAGGTAGAAGAAAGAAAACAAATACTCATGCGGGGCAGGGAGGTGGATTTATGCCGGGCGGGACGGAGCGGGTTGAAATCAAAGAAAAATGTCATGCCGAGCGTGTTGAAATTTTTGCGGGTTAAGATACCCCCTCCCCATTGCCATCCCCAACAGTTACCAAGGTCAACAATAATTAAGTTTAAATTTTTTTTACAACTAAGGTATTTGATTAGAGTGAGCTAAATACAATATATTGATACATTTGAAGATCATTGTCCCATGGATAAAGTGCTCGACTTCTAATCAAGTAGTTGTGGGTTCGAATCATTCGGGCATGAATTTTTTTGCAAAAGAAACGAAGAACGCAACATAAAAATTCTGCCAGAGTTGTCATACTAGAATCGAGCTCACACCCTTGAAACAGATTAACCGCTTGCAACTGGAACCTCACGCTACTTTGTGACTATGGGTGGCACAAATAACATTTGAGAATATCTTATGCATATACAAAATTTTGACAGAGGCTTCCGGATGCCATGGTGCCCTCTCCCATGTTCGTAGATCTGCCCCTGCCTACAACCTCTTGGTGATCCTTTAAGACCTAAAAAAGTTAGGCTACAATTTTGTTTTAAAAAAAAAGTTCCATTTAGATTCTACTTATTACTCCCTCCGTCTCATTTTAAATGACACTCTTTTCTTTTTAGTTTGTCCCAAAGAGAATGTCTCCTTATTATAAATTTATAATTAGAAACAATTTAACTTAAAAATTGTCCTTTTACCCTTAATGAGGTATATAGCCACACAAATATCTAAGGATTGTTTTAGACCACAAGTTTCAAAAGTTTTCCTTTCTTTCTTAAATACCATGCCAAGTTAAATGGTGTCTCAAAATGGTTTATGAGACGGAGGGAGTAGTTGTCTTAGTCATGTCATCATTTTTACTTGCGTTCTATGCCTTACTAGCAGTTGTTTAGCCTTTCAAAGATACATCACTGGAAAATATAATGAACATAAGCTCAAAAAAAAATATAAAGAACATACTTTTTATTTTTGTTATTATTATTCTTATTATTCTTCTTACTATTATTAGTTTGTATAATAGTGGTTCCGAGATGAGTCAAATGAAGTAACATATTCATATAGCCCACTCGAACATGGTCAATGAGGATTCTTATATTTCTTTCTCTCCGTACTACACCACCAAATACACACTGGACTGATGTTCCACATGCTCTTCATTGCTTTAGGCAAATCTTTTCTCTTCCGGCTTTTCAAAACTTTTGTAGTGGACATTGGCATCATCCATCTCGAACGCAAAACTTTGTAGAACATTTCCCAAACTTGAGCTGCTACAGACCAGTAAACAAAAATGATTAAATGTCTCCACACCTGTAACATTTATTGCTTAGCGCAATGCCCCTTGTCTGCAAATTGACTTGAGTGAGACGAGCCAATGCTTGACAAGTCAATACCAATGTTTGATGCCTATTGATTATTTTTACAGCTTCTGTTACTGATGTCTCGTTCCTACTTTCAAGATGTACCAACTCTCATAATTATATGTATAATTTTCAGCTCCTGAGTGCCCGGGATATGGCACAGAGAACTTTTATTGGCCAGGATCGAATTGTTTACAGTACAGACAGGGACTTATATGAGCAAGATTATGATGCACAACAATGGGAGAAAAGATTCCGAGAAATTGAAAAGTCTGAATAGATGGTGTTATTTAAAGGTGTTTTGTAAAGTCTCGAGTTTTATACACACAGAGACTCCGATAAGTTATACCTTTCAATGCCTCCAGACACGACATAAGGCAGGCAAAGCTGCAAGTCCACCAACTGTTAGCCATTGTGACACTCAATTTGGTGATAAGAATTGGAGCATTCCAAACAGTAGATTGTGATGTAATCAGCAACATTAATCCAGGCTTGAGAACTACAAGATTCAAAGTGTAGTTCATTAAGAATGTTCAAGTTGTGTACTTGATATGACACTCGATCTGCTACAAATGCCAGGCTTTTGTAACTAAATTAGCCTTGTTGTGACATTTAGTCAATTAAGATGTTACTGTGGTTACTCTGTATGTTGAATTTGGGAACACTTTTTCGAGCACAATTATTTGAATATTTTCTGACAAAAGCATTGAACATTGTTTTAGATTGTTCCATGCAAAACGCATGAATAGGAACTATGGACCTTGTCATTTTGAAAATTGAAATGTTTCCACGCTTGTGCATTATGCAGCACAGGATCATCAGTTTACATGTGAAATTTCGCTATGCAAGTTTATGGAAAAACACAAGTGCTACATGACAAGTAGGGCAAAGTGAAGGAGAGAACACACCTGGAACCTGTAGAAAGCAAAACCAGGAAACTTCATTTATATGAAGTTGACCACCTTCAGGGTATAGCATCTACTTCACAAACAAAAGAAAAGAACAAGAAGTTCATCAAAGCAGTCTCTGAACAAATCTCAAAAGAAAAACTTCAACTACACAAAAAGATGATCAATGAATCCATTCCTCACCCAAACTAAGGATATATATAGAATATATCATCTTCTAACGCAGCCACAGACTATTAAAACAACATTGATCCAAATGCTACGCACGGCACTTATATTTGAGAACTAGTGTTTAGCTATATATTTTGCCATAGCTTAAAAAAATATTTGGCAACCATCCCAAGATTTTAAGTTGTTATAATTACATATGTGAATTACTTTTAAAAAAATAACTACTTATTTTAGATATATTCTTTGATTATTATCATTTATAGCAATATAAAATATTATTATATAATAATTAGAATTATCTGTCTCTTACCTCTTTATCCTTTTTCTCTCACCTTTTTTTGTCTCTCTTTCTCCTTTTCTTATTTCTATTGTTCTCTCTTTCTTGTTTTCCTTTTATTCTCTTTCAATCTTGATTTCTTTCTATTGTTCTTTCTCCCTTGCTTTTTGATGCTTTTTTTTTCTTCTCCTTTGGCTGCTCTTTCGTCCTTTCTTTTTCTCTACTTTCTTTCATAGAGTAATCAATAATTTGTAGGCTGAATAAAAGTCATATCAATAATTAATTAGACAAGTAATATAATCGTAATAAATGAAGAGACTTAATAAACTGCAAAATGAATTAAACAAAAATTTAAAATGTTGCAGAGTGAATTAAACTTGAAATAAAATATATAACACTCATATTAAAGTTGAATTAGAAGAGAATTAAACGTGAATGCGAAATGTAGCAAATGAAAGAACATTTTATGATTTGTAAACTAAATAAAACTTACATCAATAATAAACTAAACAACTAATTCGATCGAAACAAATCAACTAATAAACTGTCAAATAAATTAAACTTATATTAAAAGTGTATTACACAAATATTAAAGTTGAATTAGATACGAATTAAGTATGAATAAAAAACATAACTTATGAAATAACATACATCGATCTATAGAATGAATTAAACTTGTATCAATAATGAATTAAACAAGTAGTTTAATAGTAACAAATCAACCAAATAAACTGCAAAATGAATTAAATTTGCATTAAAAGTGTATTACACAATATTAAAGTTGAATTAGAAGAGAGAAATAAAAATGAATAAAAAATGCAACTAATGAAAGAAAATACAATGATCTAAGAGTGAATTAAACTTGTATTAATAATGAATTAAAGTATTAATTCAACAGTAACAAATCAACCAAATAAACTGCAAAATGAATTAAAGTAGCATTAAAGTGTATTACACAATATTAAAGTAGAATTAAAAAAGAGAAATAAGAATGAATGAAAACTATAACTAATGAAAGACAAGACAATGATCTATAGACTGAACGAAGCTTGTGTTATTCATAAAAAAAACATGTATTATATGTGCTTATAAATTATTTTGGTCTATATCCCTAAGAATGTAAGTAGTGTTTGCAATATGTATTAAAAATGTATTGTTCATGATTTTAATACAATTATAAAACATATCTAATTCAACTTTAATACAATTGTGATACAGTTCCATAAATTTTACCTTTTTCGAGTTTCAATCTTATATTTCTCCTAAAATCAATTATAAACTTAACACAAACTCTCTTAAAATTGAGATATAAACTTCAAACTGCATTTTTAATTATTTGTAGAATCGACCTATCCAAATTAATCACGAGTTTGTAAGATTCATAAAATGAATTCAAAATTTGAAGCTTTATAAATGACCATCAATGATGACTTCTTGTTGTTGTAATTTTAGAGATTTGAAAATTTTGTTTGAAAACATAATATTCTACAAATTTTTAATTTTTTTATTTCTCTTCTTGTTATGTTTTTGGGTAAAATAGTGAAATAGGGACAAATTTTGATTTGATAATAATTATTTAAATGAAAATTTTAATAGAAGAAGAATAAAAAAAAAGAGGAGGAAGAGAAAGATAAAAAAAGACGACGAAGAAGAAAAATAAAAACAAGAAGATGGGGAAGAGAAAAAGGACAGAGAAAGAAGAGAGCGAAGCGGTACAGTTTTTTAATTCAAAAAAATGTTATATTTAGTTTTAAAAAAATTGTCATAAATGGTAAATATTTTTCTAAATATAGCATATTTATGTGATTTACCCTTTTAATTTCTAAAAAAATTGGCGCAAATTCTAGTAATTGGGAATTATTTAAATTTTAAAACTCGAACTTTTATATTTTATAAAAACACCCATCATTTACTGTTTTGGATTGAATTTCATTCATAGTTCGTTGTACAAAATATTATATATATATATATATATATATATATATATATATATATATATATATATATATATATATACTAGAATTTGCCCCAAATTTTATATATACATATTAACTAAGCTTTCTCTGACTTCCAATTACAAGTATTAATAGTAGTTTTTTTGTATACAAATCATTGATATCTTCCTTTCGTTTTCTTCCTTTTTTTTAATTTATACTGATTATGTTTGTTGTCATGCCTTTTCACGGAACATTTTCGTTATAAAATGATAATATAAATTTATGGGCATTTTTAATAATTTTTAGAACTTATTGATATAAATTATTTTTAAAAAAAAGTTAAATATTTCTCTCAAAATCTATGTTCAAGCGCATGGTGAAACATCACCCAAAAATGGCTTGTCAAAGATATTTGACAATTTATGGTCAAACGCTAGCCTAAAACTAATAACCACCAGATAACCCTAGTCACTAGCAATTAAATCATATATATAAGAACTCTAGGCCTGCCTACGTGGCTCCACCACAAACAAGGATTTCTTTTTTTATTTATTTTTTTTGTTTGTTTAAATTTATCTATTACCAAAACTAGCCTTCCCCTTTCATGAAAAGTTATGAAAAAGTTGTGACTTTTATAAAAAGTTGACTTTATGAAAAATTACGATTTTTATGAAGAGTTGCGACGTTTGTGAAGAGTTACGACTTTTATGAAGAGTTACGACTTTTATGAAAAGTGGTGACTTTGATGTAAGGTTGTGACCTTTCCGAAGGTGTCACGACCCAAAACGAGCCGCGAGTGGCACCCACACTTATCCTCCTATGTGAGCGAACCAACCAATCTAAACCCCAACATTTCAACCATAATAAACAGAATGTAATGCGGAAAACTT